GGCTGGAGATTCGAACCCGCCACCTTAGGTGTACGTGGCTGGCGCCTTAGCCGGTTGAGCTATAGGCGCTGAGCCCAGTTTCAGTTTTCGTATAGCTCTACCATGGACCCTAGCATCACATTTGCAATTTAAAAACCATTTTTAGTATGTTACCTCACTTAATACTCATGATAGGTCATGAGGTTATTGTAATTATCTTCATGTTGAAAAAAGTTAGTCAACCCCTGCAGATACTTAGTGTGTTATCTGATTTTTACCACCATCTGGATAGTTAGTGGTAGAGATTAGGTAAGCATATTACTACATAATCATCATCCATTTCACAGATGAAGAAACTGGGGCACAGAATGGTTAAGTGATTTGCCCAAAGTCACACAGCAAATAAGCAACAGAGCAGAGACGTGAACTCAGACAGCTTCCATCATCCTATCTATGCCCTGATGATGCCTTCTAAGGCATTCAAACAAGAAAGCAGGTTATATAATTTTCCCAGGATCATGAACTTACCAAATGGCACGGCTAGAACTTCAACCTTAGTCCTACGAACCAAGTCGCCTATCCTTCCAAAGAAGCCACGATATCTCCTCAAAGGTGAGTATTAAAGTGCCACTGAACCCCAGAAATCTCAAAGGCTGAGTCCCACTCTAGCACACAATAGCATGATCCGCTTGTCTGAATACTCCTCAGATTTCTGAGATGGAAAGAAGCAGCTGTGAGAGGCAGCAGGATGCAGTGGGGACCTGGGTCTGCATTCTGACCCTGCTGCTTAGTAGTAACCGTGTGGTCTTGAATAACTCATGAACTTTCCATGATTTTTATTTCCCTTGCTTCTTAGTGGGGAATATATACAGAACAGAATTGTCACAAACACATACAATTTATATCACAGTGCTTTATCATCTAGAACAGGGGTCCTCAAACTTTTTAAACAGGGGGCCAGTTCACTGTCCCTCAGACCAGTGGGATGGAGGGCTGGACTGCGGGCCCCAGGATGAGTGGGCTGCTAAGCAGGACAGGCAGCAGTGGCAAAAACACCCGGCGGGCTGGATAAATGTCTCAGGTGGGCCGCATGTGGCCTGTGGCCCGCGAGCCGTAGTTTGAGGATGCCTGATCTAGAACATCAATTCTCAACCTGTGGATCGTGATCCACAGGCACTATATTAAAGGGCTGTGGCATTAGGAAGGTTGAGAACCACTGTTCTAGAGTGTGCTGCAGACATGCCAGCATTTGCTATCCAATCAATCCCCTTTCGCTAATGTTCTAGAAAAATCTGTTACAAAATTTCATTTTTCTTTCAGAGCTCCAATATCTGGATATAAACCTCACGGGACTATGTGGTTACATCACATATCAGTAGGGCCATACCTGCTGTCATGGGGTGAACTATATGCCTCCTAAAATCCGCATGTGGAAGCCCTGACTCCCAGGACCTCAGAATGCAACTATATTTGGAGATAGAATCTTTATAGAGTTAATAATAGTAAAGTGAGGTCATCACGGTGAGCCCCAAGCCAACATGCTGGTGTCCTCATGAGAAGGGGAGACTGGGACACAGCCACAAGATGTGAAGGCCAGGTGAGGACGCAGGGGAAAGAAGATCACTCGTGAGCTAGAAGGAGGCCCCAGGAGAAAACAACCCTGCCACACTTTGATCTCAGATTTCCTGCCTCTAGAACTATGTGTGACAACACATTTCTATTGAATAAGCTCCCCCTTGCCCTGACAGTCTGTGGGACTTTGCTAAGCAGCCCCAGTCCCAGTCTGTGGGACTTTGCTAAACTCAGCCCCAACATAAATGGAGCAATGCAGCCATATGATGCAGGGAACAGCAAAGGTAAGAAGGTCCGATGTATTCCACTCTGCTTAGTGGTTCAGATTTGGGCAACTTGTCTTCTCTAACACACAAGGGGTTGGCACATGCTCTTACTGCTTTAATATGCAATTCCACATTTAAGTCACAGAAATTTAATTATACTCTTCTCAGAAACCCCAATTACAGGTGAAATTAGAATCAAATGAAAGAGGAGAGAAGGGTGAAATTCAAAGATCTATGTGAAGGGTAAAGATGAATTAAATGTTATCCCAGGGAAAAGATAAAATCCCCCACACCATTTCACATGCTAAAGCCCACAGTAGCACCTGCTGTGTTTACCCGAGAACTGTGCAACCTACTTGAGGTCTGGCTTCCATCAGACAGGGTCTGTCTGTGATGTGATGCTCTATCTTTTGAAGAAGCACAGTAAGGCCCATTCCCAGGTGTCTGCTCTAGGAAGGAAGGAGGCAGGCTTTCGGATTCACTGTGATCAGTCTCCAGTGTTGGCATGGGGACAGGCTCCCGTCTACTTTCTGGAACAGCAGGACAAAACTCTGGAGCCGACATCACAGGGTCACAAGTGATAGGTGTGTTGCCCATGGACAGATCTTCACCATCCATCTCCAGCAGGCACTTGGTGGAGAGAGAAGGAATGGAGAGAAGGCTCACGGCACTTGGTAGTGGGAGGGAAGGGGGGCTGCTGGCCTCCCCACTTGTGGACAGCAGCCTCGTGGGAGGACTGGTGCTTCTGCGTGACTTGGAGGCCCGCTGGAAAAGTCCGTCCCGCTTCTTCTTCTCTTCCTTGGGCAAGGGTTCTTCCGCAGCCTGTGCCTTATTGAGCTCTCTGATGTCTAGTCCCAGAGCAACCGAAGCCAGCAGCCTGGTGCACCTGTACAGAGCCGACTCCGTTTTCTTTCTCTGGGGGGATCTACTCAAACTGTTCATAGGGGTCACCTGAGGACAGTCCGTGGCAGAGTTCACAGAGGTTCTTTCCTCCCAGCTTTTGGCTTCCACAGGATTCTCTCTCTGACCATCTTTCCAAAGAGGTAGATCAATGTAGGCCTGACTGGGCAATTTTGTTTGCTTTGGTTTTCTGTGTTCTAACTCATCAGGGGAAAGTTTTGGCTCTTCACAAGCCCCTAAATAAAGGTATAAATACACACACTATAGTGCCATTTGTATAGGAAAAATTATTTAAACTGAATTGTAAAATAAAGCTAAAATCAAATAAATAAATAAATATTCTAAATCAAAACCCACTCAGTCCTTGTTAATTTGGCAAATGATTCATCTGGAGAGTTCTCTAGAGTAAGACTCCGGGTTCTCTCTAGATAAACCAGCTAGTAAACCATCTGCTGTTTACTATTCTGCAGCAAACTGTTCCTCCTTGGCATCAATAATAGAAATTACTGTAGAAGCAAAGCCATCAAGATGTAGAAATGCATACACGTGGACATACGCACTAAATATGTCATTCCAAATGTGCCCTTTTCCTCACTTCACCTAAATAAGCGTGTCAAGTTCTATCAGGTACAGCTTTCCTATGTGTGCTCAGTGGTTCTCAAAGTGTGTGGCCTGGAGCAGCAGTGTACTCTGGGAACTTGCAAAATGCCAATTCTTGGCTCACTCCACGCCGTGGAATCAGAAATTCTGGTGGTGGATCACAACTAAAGGTAACAAGTAAAGTTCCTTTACAGTAAAAGTTTCTTTTTTTTTTTTTTACTTTTAGTTTAAAAGTAACTTCAGTAAAGTTTCGGGGTCACTGCAACAAATAAGCATTCTCCCAAGAGTTTACCCAATTCCAAAGGGTTATGAAGTATACTGGCTGGAGCAGAAACTAAAATTCTTTTTTTTTTTTG